CAGTAACCCCTACTTCTTCACACACAGCCCTCCTCTTTCCTGGACAAGCATCCCACGATCCCACCAAGCTCCCCAGACTTGAGCAAAACAGTAAAACACACGTGGTGGTTTGTTCCTGATTTATATTTACTTACCACATCTGTTACCAACATGCATCTGTCCTACACCACAAGACTGCTGGGGCTCTGATAGCTTGAGAGACTTTCTGGCCACTTCGTGGTCCATGCCAGAGACACGGACACGGAACTGGTCCCTGCTGACTGTCTTCCGTAAGGTCCGAATGGTTTTACGGAACCTCTTCTCAGTCTTTTTCCGAGCACAGCGCGCATCGCAGGTGTCTGAAAAGTACCAAGGGTGAAAGCTGCTATAAGTGACCAGGCATAAACATCCACCCAATTCAAAAGACCAACCAATGCAAATCACTGAGAAGGCAACTGCTGTGAACAAGTCTGAAATCCTTAAGGACAACACCACCAGGATTTAAGAAAATTAATCAGACCACGAGACTTTAATCTATGGGCAGCTTTTTGATCTTCGAAACTGTCCCCATCCCTCACTCTTTTTGAAGCAGTAAAATTAATTTTCAAAACAGGAGATACTTTTTATCATCATTTTGCATACAGATAGAAGTGAAAAGTACAGAAATTAAGGAGCAAACAGCAAGAAGCTTCGAACCGCACCTTGGATTATGTTTCCAACCAACCTGTTACCTCCTTTCGGCTTGTTTCAAGCTCAAAGTCCGCAGTGATAAAAATTTCTCTAGTCGCTGTCAGACTACTGAGGTCTCCATGGACTTTCTTGCCAGAGCTGCATGTTAGGTTTACATAGTGGAAGCTCTCCATTACTGAATTATGTCTCTCTGTATGAACAAAATTAAAGGAAGCGAAAGCTTGGCCAGCTACGTTATTGAACATTCACCAGTGCTCAGGGCAATGGGTTGTCACGAAGAGTTAAAGGGGAGAAAAAAAATCAACTCCACTTGGTGGTAAACAAACAGTTTGGCCAGTTTCTCAACTGGTGCACCCTCGAACTGAATCACAGACCCCAGTGCACCTGCAGATGTACCGTGGGGCTGGGACTCTACCCCTGCAGAGGGTCTGCTGGGATGTGAGCTTGGTTGCAGAGCTCAACCAGCTTCCCCTGGGTCTTGCTGGCAGGTTCTAAGGAGCTGCCTTTGCACTATGCAAAGCATCTTAAAACCATGACGCTGCCCGTACCAGGCAGGCTACTTGACAGAAAAATTTTGCACTCATATGAAGCATGTGAAAAACGTGTTAGCTTATCATGGGGTTTAAATTCAGTAGTGGCTGCGTACACAGGACATTTGGAGACCATTTTCAAGGTCTCCATGGGGAAATAAGATTTAGTTAAACACACAGAATAACCTTTGGTTCTGGAGTGTAACTCTTCAGTGAGCATCTAGTGCAGTTTCTCACTGTTACTCTTCTAACGACAAACAAACTGACATGTTGATTGTTGATTCATCATATTGTTTAGTTACTTCTTCCCCAACCTCCTTTTTCTTTTTTCTTTTTTTTT